TGGTTATATTGTATTTAGCAATTATAATAATTATATTGCACATGTGACTATAATTTTATAGCTGTTAGGATGGAAGTGCTTCTGCTGATTGGCTCAGAGTGCACATGAGCTCTGGTGAATGGGATCATTAGATCCCCACAGTGCTTCCTAGGGTAGAGCAGTGGAGCCCAGCTGTCCTGAAGGAGTGAGCACAACCTTGGAGGGCAAGACAGGGAGGTAGAGGATCAGCTCTGAGCAAGACCTGCCCCACCCTCCTCTTCTTTCACTGACCCCTCTATTCTGTCCTTGGGCTTCATCTGTTCCTGAACCCACAGCCAGGCTTTTCCACACACATCTGGAACCAAAGGTTAGAGACAAGGATCCACACACTAGATCAGTACGATCACTTCTGTTTGGGATGAGAGTTTTGGAGTCCTAAGGCTGCTTTGGACTCCACATTTCTGTGTGATCTGAGATGAGGAGTAACAAAATCTGGCCAAGGCAAGCATGGGGTGCTTTCTCTCAAGAAAAAAGGCCCATGTTGGCCCTTGTGTCCCTAGGGCATGCAGTGACTTGTCCCTGGAGTAATGGCTTTGGCTGAGTTCTAGGCTAGAGATAAGAAGTTTGGAGTCTTCATCATGTGGATGAATTTAATGGCATGCGTTTATGAGGAAGTGAGTAAAGATGGGGAAGTGACGCTGTAACACTTGGAGGTCAGGAAGAAGCAAAGCACAGGGGAGGCTGAGTGGGAGCAGACAGAGACCTGAATGAGGAACCCAGAGAGAGCAGTTTCAGGAGCCACTGAACAAGTGTCACAAGAGAGGGTATGACCAGCTATGTCCCGAGCTGCTGATTGAACAGCAGAGAACTGAGAACTTAACTCCACGGCCATTGATCTTGATAAAAACAGGTTTGGAGAAATGCTGAGCAGGGAGAAAGAGTGGAATGCATGGGAGACAGCAGGTAAAAGGCCTGGTCCAGTCTCTGTGCCAGGAAATAAAAATAGAGGGTGAGCCAGACGGACTGTCTGCCTCTGAAGACCTCACAGCCCGGTGCAAGAGAGATGTTTAAATAAATCATCACAAAAACTGCAGAAGAGCTGATAAATTCAGGGTGCCCAACAGGAGATCTATGGATCCAGAGAGGCCCTGTTACCTCTCTAAAGACATCCAACCCAGGAAGATTGGATTTCCAGGGAGTGCAGATGGAAGGGCATTAGTCTGAGAGGTTTTAAGGCAAGCCTGTTTTTTTGTTCTATCACAATCTCCCGTTCTGAAAAGCCCACAGATGATTTCTTGAATGACGTGTGAATTCTAGTGGAAAAAATTTCAAGAAACCAAAATGTTCTTCCCCTGAAATTACAATAATATAGAGAGTGGCATTAAAGATAGAGCTGTTAGAGTGTGCCAAAGTAGAATGGACGGGTTTGAGGCGCCTGTGTAGAGGACAGTGTTAGGGATAATTTTGATCCTCACAGTCTTGCTAATCTGCTGAATTGAGTACAGGTACCTGGTGTTAGAGGCTTTCCATTCTTGGTGTCTCTGAGAGCATGTGACACTTCATTGGCTGCCTAAATGCTGTTGCTTGTGAGGAATGCTGTGAGGAAAGCAGGGACTGAAGGCTGGGAGGACAGTGGGATTGAAGAGAACTGGGAGAATCGTTGTTGTATGTGGGGCTTATGGAAATAGGAGGACAAGGGAGAGAGAGTAGGACACAGATGTAAAAGTTATCAGTTTTTAGATGACATTCATATGTGCCCCAGGAGAGGAGGCAAAGAGGAGCCTTTAGGATGAGGAGCATGGTTTTATAGCCACACAAGAAGGTATTTTTTAAAAGGTGATGCAACACCATTAGTCTTCAGAGAAGAACAGCAGGTTTGGAATCATCCAAGGTAGGATCTGAACAGTGGGAGGGCACCAGAAACCACAGAGAAGATTCTATGGAAAGAAACAAACTAATAAAACTGAACTGTGATGGGATGTGAGGCTGGGAATTGAGTAAGTGCAGTGGGCTGTGACAGAGGCAAAACCATTTAGAAGTAGACACATTTTTTTGGTGAGTACAGTGCAGAAGAGATAAAAAGCAAGAATTGGTGATTTTCAGGAAACCAGGGAAGTTTATTCTTTTACAAATTCGTGAAGATCTAGACTCACTGGGCTCTTCATAGCCAAGGAGAAAGTATGACAGAAAGAATAAATCCAGGAGGAGGTGAAAGGATGGAGCTGGCAGGTTGGGCAAATAGCACCTAGAGCTAGGCCAGGGCCCTTCTTCCCCTGAGACAGGAAGGACCTTGTGAAGGAAGAGGGATGGAAAGCCCAAGGACTGGGGAGAAAGGGTGGCTTATCTCCTGCATTTGGAGAGTTAGGGAGGAAAAAAGGCACCTGTCTTGCTGAGGCAGAGAAGAGGGTCAGGTCGGTGAAGAGTCAGAACCAAGGAGTTACAAAGACTGGAATGACACAATTCTAGGTTATAGCAATGCCCAGTGTCCTCATAGGTCCTGGTGATTTGACAAAGACAGATGTTAGAGTAATGGGACCTGGAAGGGACAGGGTGTTGGAGGGAAAAGTAATGTTGAGAAATGAATGCCCTGGTGAGAGTAACATGGGAATGACTGGGTGTGGTGAAGGGGGTACAGGCTGGACCAGGGGAAGTGTGGGGAGGGCACAGGCTAGACCAGAGGAAGGCTGATGGCCTTAGATGAGAAGAATCCATTTCGCTGTGTCTGTAGTATTTTGGGGCCATTTGTTCCCATCAGGACCCAGTAGCCCCGAGCCCACATTTCAACTGCTCCAGAAGACAGCTGTCTCTCCCCATGATGACCACTCCCTGCTCCCCTCAAAGGGGATTTCCTAGTGCAATGTGGTGGCCTATGTGTTGTCAGATTCTCTCGGTCATGATCTTCTGATGTAGTGGAATTATCTCTCCTGCTCCTTTCACAACAAACTGAAGCCCAGTTCTGAGTAGTCATGGGCATTTTGGTTGTCCTACCTATTTTATGTAAGCCTTCTATTTTCACAGTGGGAAGGTTAGCTATTTGGAAGCAATTATAAGGTCTTCTCGTCATTTCACAGAGCTGCCGCTAGCCTGTGCAAGAAACTTGGTGACCCTTGGGGGAAGCTTGCTTCATTTTCATGAGGAACAACTACCAGTACTTCAACTAAAATAACCACTAGTCATGGAAAATACCTGTCTAAAGATATTAATCCATTAAGTAATTCAGCAAAATCTATTGACCATCTTCTTTGTGCCAGGTACCCCAGGGAAGAAAAAAATCCTTTCCCGTGTCCTCCACCACAGGGGCTATGGTCATGCCTGACACAGACACACAAGTCTAACAGTACAGCAGAAGAGGGGTGGAATATGCAAGGTGGGAAAGGGGTGCACAGAGCAGGATGTAGTCTCTCCATCTCGGGGCAGAAAGGCCCGGCAGAGATGATGATATTGGAAAAAGCCCAAAGAAGACAGAATCCCAGGAGGCAGGGAAGGGAACATACAGGGCAGAGAGAAGCATATGGAGACTGGAGAGTGCTGTTTTGGGAACATCAGGGTTGAGGTGCATTTGAATGCATGCTAGTAGGGCATACAAAAATGGCAGGTGCATACCAAGTCAGTACTCAGATGCATTGTCAAGCAGGAAATAGCTGGGCAGATCTGGTTGGGATTAGAGCTAACACCTTCCCATCCCACCCCAGACACCATGAAAGGAGCCATGATCAGCCATCTGGCACTGAGGGGCAGTTGAAGAACACTGGCGTGGCAGTTGGGGAAAGAGGGGATGACTTCAAAACTCAGGGAGTGATGCTCAGATAGACCAACAGGTTAGAAAATAAGTAAAAGAGGGTCTTGAAAATGGTGGGAAGATGCTGTGTCAGTTACAAGAGGGAGCTAAGCTGGGAGGACAGGAGCATGGATGCAAGAGCCTGGTAACAGCTCTCCACAGGTAGAATCCGTATTCATTAGGTTCTAAATAAAGGGGACCAGTCAGGGAAAAAGTCATGGGGAGAACCAAAGGGCCTTGCAGAGAGCCAGCTAGGTCTGAGGTACTGCGAGTGACAGAGCCCCAGTTCTGGCAGAATGGAAGCTGGGAGCTATCTGAACCTGCAGGAGGAGCCTGGGGGCCTGAGGGAAGAAGAGGTGGGCAGCGACTGTCCTCATTTAGAGCTAATCTTGTCAGGCATGGGGGTGGGGAAATAACAGAGCTAAGCACTGACAAGGCGGAGGTGGAGCCGGTCCATGCTTGCTTTGCTGGAGGCTAGGCAATTTGGAAAAATATTTTTGCAAAACAATTTGCATACCATCAGGTCCTTGACCCTGGAGTTCCATATGTGGAAATTTGCCCCAAGGAAATAGTTCAAAAACACGAAATGTTTGTTTCATTTATCCAAATGCTAATAATCAGACATTATGAATTCATGTATGGGCATTCCTGTGAACATGTTCACTAAGGCAGTGCTTTTGATACTAGAACAAACAACCTAAATAATTTGAAATGTCACAATGGCTTAATTCAGTATGAGAGTTGGTGGGAACTGTTGTGCTTTGGTGTTCTATGACACCAGCAGGATTCAGCACAGGCAGCTCACTGTGTCTCAGGGCCACACTGTCTGGTATTGGTTTGCAATGGCGACTGCCCTAGCTGCTTATCTGACAAGTTCATGCCTCCAAGGCTCAGTGCAATTGACAGTGAAATAGCTATACAGTTCTGCCACCTCAGGGCTGCTGTCAAGATTAAGAGAGTAAAGGTGAGCAGAGTACCTGACAAGCTTCCTAACACCCAGTGCTCGAAGAAACCAGCACTATTGTAAACATGTAAAATTAGAGATCAATAAGAGACTGAGGGAAGCAACCCCAAACTTATATCCACAGGAAATGCAAATGATCTGTTGCTCGTGTTTTAATATCATTACATTAAAATATAAAGTCACAAGTGATGCAGAAAAATCAGGAAATGGGCAAAGCCCTTTGACAATCAGTTGATCTAAAGGTCAGAATGACGTAGGATACCACTTTCCTCTTCCCAGCGGTGTTTGGGCAGTGCCTGGCTGAGACTGTGACCTACGAACAGAAGTTCGGCCACCACCTGGTGCCCATCCTGGTGGAGAAGTGCACAGAGTTCATACTGGAGCATGGCGTGAGTGAAGAAGGCATCTTCCGCCTGCCTGGTCAGGACAACCTGGTGAAGCAGCTGAGAGATGCTTTTGATGCTGGGGAACGGCCCTCCTTCGATAGGTATGCTATCTTTACCTGTACTGTCCATCTGCTCTCTGCCCAACTGGCTGGGGAAGAGGACTCAGTAGAGCCAGGGAACCTTCACAGAGGCTTTGAAAGTCCTAGACCACAACAAAAAGGGGCTTTTGTTCTGATCACCACTCTGAACCTGGACCTGGGGCAAAGCTAGGAGAGTATGCAGATGGTTTATGCGAGAGAAGAGGTGATAAACAGATTCAGATAATGCTTGGCACATAAGAGAAGGGGAGACGCAGAGCATGAGAGTAAGCTGAGACAGCCCAAGACCCACCCTCAGTACCCTCATCATTGCAGCTGAGAAGCATGAAGAGCAGACCTATCGACCCAGATCTGTACCTGAAGACACCAGTGGTCATCCTCAGCCCTCCGGAAGTGGTTAGAACTAGAGTTTCCATGCTCTCAGTACCGTGTGATTCTGAACTCAGTTCTGAGTTTTCTGACGGGAGTTCACACCATCACAGCAGCTCCCTTCTCCTCTTTGAAGTTTCCTAGCCCTGTCTGGGGTATATCTGGTGTGGTGGCACTTCTTCCCACAGTTCCTCTCCAGGCACCCAGCAGGGCAGTCCCTCTCTGCCTTGTTAAATGATACAGCCATGCCCTCACATGCTATACTCTGTTGGCTGTGTAATACCTGGTTGCCTGCCTGCACTTGTCCTGCTGGCTTAAGACAACTGCTCTTTCTAAATTAGCAGCCCATCAACTAAGATTTGGTACAATGGGCCTGAACTCTACCCTGATTCTAAATGTTGAAATCCCCTAGAGTTATTTAGGACAGAGGGGAAAGTCGTGAAAGCCTGAGTCACGCTCATGCAGGCATGAGCAGCTCCCCTTCAGCCCCACACTACCCATTAATATGGTCCACTTTTCCTCTGAAGAATCTCTGAGCTCCATCATATTCTTCTATTCTCTGCCATGGTCTTAGATTGGTCCTCCCAATGTCTACTTCTCTTGACCTTAGTATGTCATAGGTTAACTTACCATGTGCTGTGATCTATGCAAGCAACAGTATAGCTGTTATTGGAACTATAGCAGGTTATATTCTTTCAACAGCACCATGGATTACACTTTGGGAGCAGGTTCCATTCTATTATGCTTGTGGCCTTGTATTCAGTTTTCTTCTTAAGTTTTAAATTCTGTTTGAGTTGATCAAAAGATGCAGGTGGGTTGTTGCTTTTTTTTTCCCCCAGTTAATTATTTATTTAATAACCACATACTTAGAAGAAGCATTTCATTACAACAGCATTGACATATTCAATAACAATTTTCTGAGCTAAGATGCATCTTTTTCAAAATTGGCTGTAAACTTTTAGGGTTACAGTTGAATTGTTACAGTTATACAATATTGTACTCAACATAAACCCTATAAGACATAAAATTAAATGAGGTGTTAGCCTTTAAAAAAGATCTCCATTTCATTATGAAAATACATAGTTTCATACAGAAAAATTCATTTTCAGTGCAATTGACATTAACATGTTTGCACATGCGTTAGTACCCCAGCCAAGCCCCACTACTTGCCCTTTTGATGAATCTAGTCAGCCTGCCTAGAGGTCTTTGTTTTAGGAAGGTCAGCTGTTCCTCTTCTAGCAGCAATCAGTTGTCAATACTCCTTCAGTTAAGATTAGGGTCTGCTGTTCATTTTCCCAATTCTACGCTGGGTTACTATTTGGGAGTCCCTTTGTTCACACTGGCTAACAACTCAAAAGAAGGTATCTCCTATCTAGCATTGTTGCTTGTTATGTAGCCTTTAGCTATGCATATGGACTCTTAAGAAATT